CTCACCCTGCTCCCCACCCGCATTCTTGGTGAAGGATCAGAGCTGCGTGAGGGTCAGGAATTGGATAACAAAGAGATGATGCAGCACATGGCTGGGGTCTACAGCAGAGACACCCCCGCTCTGAGTCATGAAGGCTGTGCTCCAGCAGCTCCAGTATCCCCATAAGGTCATCTGATGTCCAGTTTGCATCTCTGCGTCATGTTCTCACCCCTCTCTGGCCAGGGAGGACTCAGGAGCTAGGTCCCTTGCTTGGTTCTCTAAGCCCACCTGGGCTTCTCCCCATTGTGCCAGCTTGTTGGAGCCAGGGAGGGTCAGGAGTTGAGGGGTTGCTCCTGTTGCTTGGCTGGGGTGGAACGAGAGGCAGGGAGGTTCTCCGACTCCCTCATTTTTTTTGCCTGCCAGGAGCCCTGCTCAGGTTTCCTGTGTTTTCTCCTGGATTGTAGCCTCCTTTGAGTAATGCAGGCATCTGTGAACAAAATTCCCTGGATGAGTGAGCTCCCTTGGGCACTTGTGGACAGCTTCCTCCAAGCTCAGGGCACTTAGTGAGGGCGTGCAGGCCGGGTGGGAAGAATGGGCACTGGAGGAGGAATGAAATATATTCTGGGATCTGTCTAGGCTCTTGCATCCAAATGGCTGGAGGATAGAGAATGAGCCTGGAGCAGAGAGAGAGACAGAGAGACCAGACAGGGGCCAGATTATGAAGGGTCTTGCAAGCCATGTTACAGCTGTAGAACCTTACCCCAAGAGAGGTGGGACACTATTGAAGGGTTTCCCTTGGAGTATGCCCCCATCACACTCACTGCCGTCGTCATCTTCATCATCATCATCATCGTCATCATTATCATCAAAGCTAGCACGTTCAGTGCCAACTATGTTCCAGGCACTATGCTGGCTGCTTTCATACGTTAATCCTATTAACAGTGCTGTGAAGTGGATACCATCATTATCCCCATTTTACACATTTTACAGACGAGGAAATGTGGACTCAGAAAGGATAACTGAGGTACCCAAGACTACACAGCAAAGAAAAGCCCAGGGCAGAACCACAAGTGGAATCCAAGTCTGCCTAGTCCCAAAGGCTTGGCTCCTGAACACAGTTTTCAATAGCCTCCCCGTGAATGTATTTACATTCTTTTTTTGTTTGTTTTTTGTTTTTTTTTTTTGAGATGGAGTCTTGCTCTGTCACCAGGCTGGAGTGCAGTGGCATGATCTTGGCTCACTGCAATCTCTCCCTCCTGGGTTCAAGCAATTCTCCTACCTCAGTCTCCTGAATAGCTGGGACTACAGGCACCTGCCACCTTGCCCAGCAAATTTTTGTATTTTTAGTAGAGACAGGGTTTTAGCATATTGGCCAGGATGGTCTCAATCTCTGGACCTTTGGATCTGCCCACCTTGGCCTCCCAAAGTGCTGGGATTACAGGTGTGAACCACCACACCTGGCTGTATTTGTATTCTTAAAAGACCACATTGGCTGCAGAGTGGAGAATAAGAATTGGAAGATGATAGTGATTAGTATTGGAGGCACCCATGAGAGATGATGGCTGGATATAGAAAGAAACATCGATCTAGGAGACACTTAGTAGAATCCAAAAGAGGTGCTCATCCCATTTCTAAGTATATACCCAAATAAATATAAATCATTCTGTCATAAATACATATGCACATGAATGTTCATTGCAACACTATTTGAAATAGCAAAGGCATGGTTTTAATCTAAATGCCCATCAATAGTAGATTGGATAAAGAAAATGTGGTACATATACAACCATGGAATACTATGCAGCCATAAAAAAGAATGAGATCGTGTCCTTTGTGGAAACATGGATGGAGCTAGAGGCCATTCTTATTAGCAAACTCGCCCAGGAACAGAAAACCAAATGTCACATGTTCTCATTTATAAGTGGGAGCTAAATGATGACAATTCATGAACACAAAGAAGGGTACAACAGACACTGAGGCCTAGTGGAGGGTATGGGGGTTGGAGGAGGGAGAGGATAGGGAAACATAACTAATGGGTACTAGGCTTACTGCCTGGGTGATGAAATAATCTGCACAACAAACCCCCATGACCCCAAAACCTGCACATGTTCCCCTGAGCTTAAAATAGAAGCAAATAAATAAATAAATAAATAAAAGAGAGCTGCTGACCCACTAGATGGAAGGGATGAAGGAGAAGGTACATTGAACCATGAGCCCCAGGTTTCTGGCATGGATGGATGGATCAATGCCTGGATGGAGGAGGGACATTTATGGAGACAGACTAGGCAAGTTTTGTTTACTGAATGAGTGAAGGAATGAATACATGAATAATGAAGGAATCCCAAAATGGAATGGATAATGAGCTCCCCATCACTGAGAGTATGAAAAAAGTGGCTTTTCATCAGGATATTGTAGAGGATACTCCGGATTTGAAGGGAAAGTCAAGCGGTAGGCACTCAATAAGTCTATGTTGCATGAATACATGACTGGATCGCCGCTGCGCCTGTGACTCTACGGCCTCATGAGGGTCTCACAAGCACCTGGTGGGAACTTGGTAATGAGTTACTCCTGCAGAAATGTAAGATGGAAGGAAATATTCAAGCACTGTTAACATTTTTTATATCTTCTTTCTTAAATTTCTACTGGTTGATTATATTTTAGAATGTACACCTTCATACATATTAATAAGTATACATATTGGGTATGCATAATCAGTTTTTTTTCCTATAGGAATATACAATCACAAAAGCTTGGAGACCACTGATCTCCATGCCAGAAGCCTGTTAATAGGTTGAGCAGAAATAAATAGCACCCCTCCCCAAAGGCTTCTGAGTGTGCAAGGCAGTGTTCCAGGGACCAGACTCGGGGCTTTCTGGAGTTGTAACAAATGCAGGAGATATGCAAAAACCTCATCCATTTATTATGCGGCACAGAAAAGACACATGTTTACATGATTCACCCATTTTCTCATTCGGATGTGAAATGTTTCCTCTTTACATCACAGCTCTTTGAGTCTTTCACAGGGCAGATGTTCTTTATCAGGCATCTACACCATGCACAGGGCAGCTCCTCTCCACAGACCAGATGTGGATCCCCACATGGCTGTTGGAGCATAGCTCTGCTCCTACGAGAGTCTCAACCATCATGCGCTCTGCTGATGAATGACTGCCAGCCGTGACAAAACGCAGCCTCCTTTCTTTTTTTTTTTTCCATTCACAATGTGTGACACAGTTTGACTTCATTCTAATACTAAATGGTTTTTTACTTCTTATTCACCTGTTTTATTTCTCCAGCTATTTATTGGGGCAGAGGGGCATGGGTCGTGGGAGAAAAGAGTGGGTTGGGAGTGGGGAGGGAATTTCTTTTGACACTTTTGCTTTAAAACTCAGAGTTGGATTGGTCAGGATTTATGGAATTTTTTACCATGTAAATTCTTCTCATCCTCAGGTTCTAGCCCTCAGGTTCTAACTCTCCAGGTTATAGTCTCTCCAGGTTTCAGCTTCTCTAGAGTCTTGCCCTCCAGGTTCTAGCCCTCAGGTTCTAGCTCTCCAGGTTTTAGCTTCTCTAGGTTCCAGCCCCTCTAGATTCTAGCCTCTCTAGGTTCTAGCCCTCCAGGTTCTAGCCCTCCAGGTTCTAGCTCTCCAGGTTCTAGCTCTCCAATCAGCTAATAAATACTCATTTATCAAGTGAATGAGTGCTGCCCTGGTACTGCTGATGGTGAACGCCATTGCCATGAAGCTCCCTTGGTTGTAAGTGCCTTGATATTGGAGCCTGGTGGTTGGTTCCTTTACATCTCCCTGTGGGGCCTGGCACAGTGCTGCCCACAGGAGGCAGTTATTTAAGTCACACAGAAAAAGCAACAAATTCACCAGGGGGACTTGGGGCTTAGGGGCAGGGCTGTCTTAGTCTCTGGCCAAGGAGGTGGATCCAGTCTGACACCTGGACCCCACCCCTGCCTACCTCTCCAGCAGGGGGGTCTATGGGAAATTGGTCGGGAAGCCATTTGGGGAGGGCGTTCTCGCACCCTGTGGGGATCTTGTTCCCAGAGTGCTTCCTCACAGCCACACATGCCCAAGCCTGGGCAGCCCAGCCTGGACACAGTCCTCACCCATGAGGGTTTCAGTCTGCTGGGTGGGGGAGGGCTGGCTCTGGGAATAATGCTTTGGGGTAAATAACCTTTATGTGCCATCACTGTCTGCTGCCTGAAGGTGACCCCCCCACTTCCTACTCACACTCTTCTAGAGCTCGTACTGGCTGCCTTCTAGTAAACCATTGATTGACAGCCCCTGGTTGCTGAGGCAGCAACAGTCCCTGAGCAGGCCTGCACTCTCCCCCCACCCACCAGCTGGGAGTCGGGGGGTCTCAACACTGTGATCCTCTGGGTGAGTCTGATTAGAAATCTCTTACTCTGTCTCATCACAAATCAAACTTTGAAGACATGGCCTTCTCCCCAAAAGCTCATGTGTGTGTGGCGGTGGGGGGCTCAGGATGGTGGGAAGGACAGGTGGAAGGAAGCCAATGCTACTGAGCACCTACTGTGTGCGACACAGACCAGTGCCTCACACTGCCACCGGTTCCCAATACTGATTCTCCTCCTTGGAGCTATTTCCAGACCTCAGTATCTTTTCCTTATAATAAACGTATCCCAGTTACAGTTACGTGTGCATAATAATACCTCACATGTACATAGCACCCTTTACTTTTCAAAGTACTTTTTTTTTTTTTGAGATGGAGTCTCACAACTGTCGCCTGGGCTGGACTGCAGTAGCACAATCTTGGCTCACTGCAACCTCCACTTCCCGGGTTCAAGTGATTCTCCTACCTCAGCCTCCCAAGTAGCTGGGATTACAGATGCCTGCCAACAGTCCCAGCTAATTATATAATTATATATATGTGTTTTTAGTAGAGACCGGGTTTCACTATGTTGGCCAGGATGGTCTCGAACTCCCGACCTTGTGATCCGCTCGCCTTGGCCTCCCAAAGCGCTGGGATTACAGGCATGAGCCACCGTGCCCGGCCGCTTCAAAGTATTTTTATACCTGTTACTGCCTTTAATCCTCACAATAACTTCATGTCACAGAGGAGGAACTGAGGCAGGGACGGGTGGCTGTGCAATAGTTATTGGCTGAGCTGGAACCTTGGGCCTCCTTCCTTCCACCGTCCGTATCACCCACAGCACCCGGCTCGACCACCTCATCGAACAGCTTTCTGCTGGTGGCAGCTCAGTCATTCCCACTCGAGTGTTTGAGTTCCTTCAAAACAGAGATGGCTCCTTCTTTTTCTTCCCTCTTGCCTCCAGTGCTCCATATTGTGTATGCTTCAAGTGTTCAATACTGTGCATACAGCAAGCGCTCAATCTGTGCTTATTGGATTATTCCTTGGCACAGACCTCCTTGTCCATCAGTGAGGCGAGCCATAGAATCCTGGTCTCCAGGTTCTTATCAGGGACCCCTCAGAGCTTGACTTCCACTAACACAAGAAATTGTCCTCCAAAGTTCCAGCTGAACAGATTAAAGAAACCCAGGGCAACAATTCAGCCGGGGCCCATGTGTGTGCTCAGCCACTGGACCAAAGCTGGATGGCAGTTCTTCTGGAGACCCAAGTTGTCTTGCTGGGGCAGAGAGGGACACCGCGTGGGAGGGAAGCTCAGTCACTCCTGTCCCCGCCCCCAGGGCCCCTCCACTCCTGGGAAGGAGCAGGCTGGCCTGGGTGTGGCAGCAAATAAGAACAGTAATGCTGTCGTGTTTATGGAGTCCTTGGCTGTGCATGAGCTCACCCCATCCTCACGGCCATGCTCCCTGCAAAATTGGGCAGGGCAGGAATTACTCTTCAGTGTTTTTCTGGAGACACCTACTCATTGCCCGAGGTCACGCATGGATGTCTACTTGGCTTTCCTGGGCCCATGCTGAAGAGCAACTGTCCCTCAATCCTTACACAAATTCCTAGCAGCCCTGCTAGCATCTGCTCACCGTCTGTTCCCGGCCCAGTCCTGCAGTTTGTGAATCTGGCGTTCCACTGAGATGGAGGTCCGCAGTGTGCCCATGGAGTTCTCCATCTGAATGGGTTCTGACCTGCAGCCCCCTTTCTGGCACACTCCCTGGTACACCTCCCAAGACTTCTTTCGGAAGCGCTTGCCCACGATGACATACACCAGTGGGTTGAGGCAGCTGTTGCTGTAGGCCATGAAGGAGGAGATCTGCGTGATGACATCTATGATGTTCTCGTCCTGGCAGCTGGAGAGGAGGCTGAGGCGATGCAGCGTGTCCAGGAAGGTGCTGATCTGGAAGGGCAGCCAGCAGATGACAAAGAGCAGCAGCACGACCAGGACCAGCACAGTGGCCCTCCTCTCTGTCTGGATCTCCTTGAACTTCTGCATCTCGTTGTTCCGCAGCACCTGCATGATCTGTACCGTGCAGAAGGTGATGATGCTCAGGGGCAGCAGGAAGCCCACGACATTCAGGAGCATGTTGGTGAACAGCACCCAGGCTTGGGATGGGTAGTTGATGACGCAAGCGGTGACATTGTGGCCCTCGTCGCTATACTCCTTCAAGGTTCGGAATGCCAGCATGGGCGAGCTCAGGAGCAGCGTGCAGCCCCAGATCACCAAGCTGTAGAGCTTTGCCCAGCGCACGCCGCGCATCCTGCCCATGGACATGGTTTTCACCAGGGCCAGGTAGCGGTCGATGCTGACTAGCATCAGGAAACAGATGCTGCTGTACAGGTTCATGTAGATGATGGTGTTCACCACGCGGCAGAGCGTCTCCCCGAAGAGCCAGTCGAAGTTGTTGGCGATGGTGATGGCCCAGAAGGGCAGCCCACAGGCCAGGATCAGGTCTGCCGCGGCTAGGTTCCCCAGGTAGATCTCTGCCACTGTGCAGCTGCTCTTGTGCAGGCAGAAGACACTGAGGACAAAGATGTTCTCTAGGGTAGCCAGTACAAACAGCACCCAGAGGAAGGGGGGTTGGATGGTGTTGAGCCAGCCCAGCCACTCCAGGTTGGGGCATTTTCTCTGGGCAAAGGTCCCGTTAAGAGCGGGCAAGGTGACATTGAGCATGTCGGCACTGAAAGAAAGTGGAAAAGAGGATGTTACCCATCAGGGTCACAAGGGAAGGACAAAACCTGGTGCAGAAGGAGAGGGGGGTTAAAGACAGCCAGCCAGCACGTGGAGAAATTGAGGTGGATCTCAGGCTGTTTTCAGTGGCCAGCACTCAGGCGTACCTGATTCCCCTGGGTCTTACAGAGCCCCCTCTGATCCTTGGATTTAAATGAGGGCCTGATGTTCTTCATCTTGAGGCTCCATTGGGATATTCCTTGGCCAGAATCCGTCAGCAGTACTGACAATCTCAAATCTTGAACCCTGGACCTCCTTGAAATCTTCCGTGATGGGAGGATTCACATTCTTTCCTTATTATCCGGGCCCTTCCCAAGGGAGAGGGGGTCACCTTTCAGCCTCTCAAAGCCTTGTGGTGGGTGAGTTAATTTATTAAAAGAGAAAAATGATATCATGCCAGACCTGGAAATTCCAGTCTTGCTTGGAGACCCTGGCCAGCCCATCTGCCCAGTTTCTGTCTTCCTGGAGGGTCTGGGATGGCATCATACTTCCATACCTTCCATCAGCAAAGCACTGAAGGTAATTGGAGGCTGCAGATGGCGAGGGAGGGTGGGGGCTTTGGAGCCAAATAGTCCTACTGGGTTCACATCCTGGCTGCCCTACTTATAAGCTGTGTAATGTGGGGGAAGTTACTTAACATATCTGAACTGCAATGACCTCACCTGTAAAATGGGAATTAAAACATTTACATCTCAGGGTTGTGATGGGGATTTGAGACGATGTGCAAAAAGCCCCAAGTACTGCACTTGGCTCAATAAATGTCAGTAACTAACTATTCTTGAGAACCTACTAAAATAACCAATGGGAAACTCCACTGTTTGTCAGTGACCTTATCTTTAACCCACTGGCTCCTCTTTCATTCTTAGGCAGGACTCACAGACCACACGGCAGGTGCCTTTCTAGACTTGCTGCTGTTAAGGCTAATTCATCTGTACCTTCGGCAGAGGCACGGGGGTTGGACAGACATGGGTTCCAATCCTAGCTGTGTGATCTTGGGCAAATTGCTTGACCTCTCTGAGCTTCTATTTTGCCTTCTTTGGAGTAGAGCATTGCTCCCATCCTGACTCACCTTGCATTTCTTTTTACATGGCTATTGCAAGATTCAAGTCAAAGAGTGGATGTGAAGACACGCTGAAAAGCCCAAAGCACAACCCAGAGAGCAGGACTCACTGGGCATTTTCCCAGTGCCCTGTGGTATGGGTGAGAGAAGGAAAGAGGGCTCTTTCTGGGAGGTCCATTGCTAGGCAGGCTCATGGAGGAAGAGCTGAGCCACAGGTCGTGGGAGATATTCTGTTCATTGCTTCCAGGATTTCTCAGGAAAAGCCCCTTTGCTTCTAGGAGCAGCTGGCTGGCATCCTGAAGCCAGACTGGGGGCCCACAAATCAATGCTTTTATCCTTTAAATGTTTCTTGAGCATCTTCTCTGTGCTGAGCTCCACCCTGAGTGCAGGAACACAGAGAGGACAGCACCTAGCTTCTGCCCTGCTCGACTCCTGACAACTGTGGCCCAGAGTGTGGAGGGTGCCCTGGAGGGAGCAGGAGGGGTGTGGGACACAGACTCGAAGTGGGGACAGGTGGATAAGGTTGGAGGTGACTCTGGATCTGGGTCTTGAAGGACAAGAAGCATTTCAAAGGGTACAGGAAGGAGGACAAGCAGACCAGGTATGGGGAACAGCCTGAGCAGAGGCGCAGAACTGGGGAAGCTGCTGGTATGTTCTGGAAAGTGACACTGGATGTTGGACAGGAGAGGTGGGAAGTAGCAAGAGGCTGAGTAAGGGAGTAAGCGTGGTCTTCACTGGGCGCTAAGGAAGTGAGGCTTTGCCCCCGAGTCTTAAGGACTAGGGTGATGGTATAAGGAGTGTGCTCTGAAAACATTCCTACGGTCCATGGTGGCTTTCAGATGCCCCCAAATTATTTGATACTCTTCCTTCCAAAAGGAGGAATCTGCTTCCTCTTCCACTGGATGTGGGCTGGACTTCTTCCCAATGGTGGCAGGGATGGTGTGATTTCTGAGGCTAGGTCATAACACCCTTCGCAGCTTCTTCCTTGGCCTCTTGCATTGCTTACTTGGAAGGATGTGAGCTGCCATGTGCGGATACTCAAGCAGCCACATAGAGAGGAACCAACTTGTCCCTTGAAAGTGGCTCTTCTGGCCCCAGTTAAGCTTTCAGTGGACCCTGGTTTCCCTGCCTTTGAATCTTCCAGCCGAGGCCCCAGACATCTGGGAACAAAGATAAGCTGTCTGTATGGGGCTCCGAATTCTTGACCCACAAAAACTTGCAGCCTCCTTTCCAGACTCCCTGAAGGTACAACTTCTCCTGGGTAGTCCCCTTGGTCCAACCCTCAACCCTATTTCTGTAGTTACAGAAAATCCATTTCCTTTATTCCCTTGTCTTGGGGAATTGATCATTTCTCATGGGCTGACTCACTAGAGACCAAAGTATAGCACCAGATGCTGCTTATTAATTTCTCAGCAAGACAACTGATAGGCAAGGGGATGGATCCTAGGCCATTCCTGGCTCCGAGAAGCCGTAGGATCGTCAGAAAGATGCTTGGTGAGCATGGAATTAGGAACTATTGGTCCAGTGCACTGTGGCCCCAACTGAGATGGCCATGTGCTCATCTTCACCATAGGCTGCAGCTGCCGCAGGATGGAGAGGTTGGAGTGGACCCCTCAACCTTGTTTCTTGCAAATGCTGCCCCCCAGGACAGATCTCCCTATCCTCTGCTTCTACTCTGGATCAGGTCCCCCTCCCCTTAAATTCTCTCTGTAGAGTGTTCTGGTCTTCCGCCAGATGTCAGCCACGTGTTGGAGATATTTTGTCTCCAAGGCCACCTGGCACATTGGTGTCGGATCCACTGGGTATTGATTTCAATGTTTAACTGTTTTACCTTCACCTTCACGTTTAGCTGGGATAGATCACATATGACAACCAGGAATGTATCCTCCTCCTCCCTAAGCCCCTCTTCCTCTAGTTCCATAGAACGATACATGCCCTCTGCCCCTGAAAGACCCACAGGAACTCGAATACTTGAGAGGCTTTGTCTTTGGGTTTCACTTCACCGGTTCCTTCAACCTTTCCAGGGAGTTCTGCAGGATGTCTGCTCCCCACCCCTAACAAGTAAACTGAAGAATCCTTTGACTCACCTGAAAGAGGCTGTGGTGGGCACAGAGTCCTCAAGGACAGACAGAAACATTGGTATCTTCCAGGGAGGGAACATTTGGACTCAGAGTGGGATGTGGGTGAGGCCCCACCTGGGCTGAACAGAGAAGAAAAAATGGTTAGATGGCATGGGGGCTGGGGGCTGCAAAATACACGCCTTCTCCAGCAGGGAGGAGAAAAGGAGACTGCTGAGTCCTTGACTCAAGGCACACTGGTGACGTGCTCCCACCAGCGATGCTAGGGACACCATGGCGAAGAGCGGACATTCTACTGGAGAAGGCAGACATTGCTTAGTCACTTAATAACTGCACGGACCTAAGTGCAAGGAAATCAAGTGAGAGGTCCTGTGACAGCATAGAGCCTGGGGTCCCGAACCAGCCTGCGAGGGTGAGTGGGTACTGATGATAACATCTGAGGGTGAGCAGAACTCAACAGCGTGAAGGGAAGGCTCTGAGTCAGGAGGGTGCTGGGTATGAATGTGGATGAGGCGCTGGCCGCTGCTCAGGGAGTCAGGACTGCAGTGGGGGTAGAGCGGAAGCGGTGACCAGTTAGCTCATTAGCTGAGGCCTGGGATGATGGAGACTGAGAGGCTGGATTCCACAGGAGCTGAGAGAGTAAATCTGACAGGCCTAGGGCTCGTTTGGACCTGGAGGACCTGAGGACGGGGTGAGGTGGGTGTTATGGCTTCCGGCTCCTGCAAAGGTGGAGATGGGGGACTGATTTAGAGGCGAAACGTCATGTATTTAGACTGAAAGCTGTTAAGGGTGAAGTTCTTTTGAGAATTTCAGGCAGGTGGGGATGGGAATGGCTGTTGGGTCCAGCAGGGTCTGGAGCTCAGAGGAAGGGGCTGGACTGGAGCACTATGACGGAGACAGACTCTTGAGGGACTTTGAGCCTAATGAGGGGGACAGACATAGCTGAGTATTTCCAGTCCCTTGGGCTGGTTACCAATACAAGGTGCTGTCAAATTCTCAGCCCAGGGCCCCATCTGTGCCCCTGGTGGAAAGGGCCTTTTTGCCTAAGGGGCTTCCATTGATAACACCTGTCTCTATCCTGCTTCAAGTTTCACGTCGCGCCTATCCAGGGAGGGAGGCATGGGCTGTATGTTTGCCTTGCAGTGCAGATGGGTGGAGGTGATTTGTCTCAGATCCATGGTTGGAGATGGGGCTTAACCCCATCTCATTCCATTCCAGATTTCACACTCTCTCCAGGATCCCCAAGTGACCCCTGTCTAGGAAGGGTGTGGAAAGCTGTGGTATATATGTGTGTGTGTGTGTGTGTGTGTGTGTGTGCACGTGCACGTGTGTGGGCATGCATGAATGTAGCCACAGATCTGCCCCCTCCCAGCTTTCAGCCACTCTGTAATACCCAGCACCTGGGTTTCCAGAAGCTCAGCTCTCCTAAATCAGTTGGGAGGTGAAGATCAGACAATGGTCAGTTCAGGGAATCCAAACACATTAAAAAAAAAAAAAAAAAGCACTGAGTTGGTAAACAGGAAATGAAGTGGAAGGTAGTGAACACCCAGAAAAGGTTTACATGAATCCCTAAGCAGAGCTGGGATCAGGGTTTGGAACTCACAGGATGCAACAACCAGCACAGTCCTTCTGATCCTTCAAGATGGGGACTTTGTGGAGGGAAAGAAAGACCTACGAGCTTTCCTCTCTGAGGGGCCCTCCTGGGCTCACAGAGAGAAAACTCAATGGTGGTGAGAGGTCATGTGTTTGAAGCACTCACTTTTTCTTTTTGAGGCAGAGTCTTGCTCTGCCACCCAGGCTGGAGTGCAATGGCGTGATCTTGGCTCACTGCAACCTCCACCTCCGGGGTTCAAGTAATTCTCCTGCCGCAGCCACCTGAGTAGCTGGGACCACAGGCACCTGCCACCACGCCTGGCTAATTTTTGTATTTTTAGTAGAGACGAGGTTTTGCCATGTTGGCCGGTTGGTCTTAAACTCTCGACCTCAAGCTATCCACCCACCTCGGCCTCCCAAAATGCTGGGATTACAGATGTGAGCCACTGCGCCTGGCCTAGAGCATTCATTGTTAAAAGCATTTAACTGATTATTGAAGGTCTATCACATGCTGATGATTCAGAGGGGAAAAATGAAGACCAGCCTCCCCTGTCCTCATGGGGCTCACACAGGGCTGAATTGCCCAGCTGAGAGGCCTCAGCCTGCATGTGTGGCTTCCATTTTTACATGACAGTGACTGCCGCAGAGATAACTTGGGTCCTTGCAGCTCAGTCATGGGTGACATGTCCATTGTTTCCTCGATGACCTCTGTTATAGGTCTGCAGGGTGTCCCCAGATCTGGCCACATCAGCCCAGCTGGATCCTAATTGCTTTGCTAGTGGCTGTAAACATTGCTCTCATTTTCAAAACAAAGTTGAAGGCTTTTCCCTCTCAACTTTCTCCTGAAGTCCAGAGGGCAAGCAGGTTAAGGAACTGGGAGAATTTGGGAGTCTGAAGTGGACCGAACTGTTTTCTCCATCTGCTCTAGAGGTGTGCTCCAGGTCACCTCCTGACTTCTCCTCTGTGGCCCCTGACTCGGGATCCCCTATAGGTACCACGGGGCTCTTTGCCTTCTGGCTTCTCTTTGGGTTTGGTCAATGGGAGCCCCAGCAGGAGCCTGAGGGAGGCTGAGAGGGAGAATGGGGTGTTGGCTTCTCTCTTGGGGACCTTTATGCTGGCCGAGCCTGGAGCAGAGTTCATCGCTTCTATCAGGGACCTGATAGAGTGGGAGGGAAGGAAGTGGGGAGGGTGCTGAGGCTTTGCTGCACCAGCCCTGAGGCATCCAGCGTGCTGCCTGCTCCTCACAGAACCCCAATATGCTGCCTACACCCCTGTAAAAGAAATGCTTCATTAACATCCTCTTCCTATTTATTACTCAACTGGGATGTGCCCTGTCTTTCCTACTGAGACCCTGATGAATGCATCCTGAGAATATAAAGTCACCCTGGGAAGGGGGTGCTCTAGGTGGGCTGCTGTCTGTGGGATCGCCTTCTCTCTGGACCAGTTTCCTTGTCTACAGAGCTGGGAGGGTGTCCGTGCCTCTCAACAGACACTGAACCTCAGAGCTGGGGACAGGCGATGACTGTTGCTGGGCTTTTCCCCTGAGCTTTTAAACAGAGGCTTTAGAGGAAACATCCAACATTCTGATTCACTCGTTCTCTCTCCCTCAGAATTCTGTCCAAGGAGACTTACTGTAACAACGCTTTCCTTCATTTACTCACACAGACACTGTGGGCCTGGTGCTGTCAGGAATCAATTCCGCTCGAGCCTCTGAGACAGCCTGTTTGGTTTCCCAGGAATCCACATCTGAGGGCCTTTGAAGCAGTGGCCTCCATGAAATACACAGTGTCACTGTCTCAAGGGCCAAGTGTGTCTCACAGGGGACCCCTGACCTTGTAACCAATGATGGGGTTCAGGGCACGCTACCCCAAAATGTGGCAGCTTCGCATGTTGACTATTTTAAGTGGAAAGAATCCGAGAAACAGCAGGTGCAGGAAGGACTCTCTGTTCCCTGAAGCAGGTCACCAGACTCGATAGGAAGGTCACCAGAGGAAAGGGGCACCCTCACATCCAAGCCCTGGGGACACCGAGAGGGACAGGCCTTGCTGTTCCCCCAGTTTCCTGCACTTCGCTCGTGCTCCCTGGTCCCACCACAGCTCCACGATTCTTCACCCTTCAAAGCGTCTAATGGAAACACTCAAGCCCGGCGCAGTGGGTCATGCCTGTGACCCCAGCACCTTAGGAAACTGAGGCAGACAGAACGCTTCAGCCCAGGAGTGGGAGACCAGCCTGGCCAATATAGCAGGGCGTCCCTGCGTCATCAGCCCCTTTCTATGTGTGTGATCTCCCCTTTCAACAGACCTGGCAGCCTTGGCTGGTCCGCACATCTACCCAGGCGTTAATAGCATTGCTTATATTCTATTGCATTTTTTTATAGTTATTGTCTTTCTTTTATGATAAATGATACTCGCTTTTCATTGACACTGATGATACGACGTTACAGTTCAAAAGCAAGTCAATACTAAAGAAATGGCTGTACCGGTGACATAGATAGATATGGCAAAAACTGAGAGTGTGGATGTGAATGGCTAAATGTAGGAAACCCAGCGTAGCCTGAAAGCCTCCAGCTGGAAATGCGCGTTACAGACAGGAAGCCAGCCCGGCGGTGAGGCCGAAGCGCGCCGGGAGCTGACTGCTCTTCCTGCGCCCGCCGTGGAGGCCCGTCTGCTTCAGCCACACCAGGGGCTGTAGGGTGTCGGGGATGCCCTTCCACCTGGCCAGCACTCCTGCTCACAGACCAGCTGAGGTTTTCAGAGATTCACTACACAGCTGGATGGAGAGATGGGGGCTACTGCTGGGATGCCGCCAGTCTGTCCGTCCAGGGGAGCTCTTGAGACTGCTGGGCTCCGTCCTTGGTCCGAGCGCGGCTGTTCTCCCTCTGCCTCGGCATCGCCTATCTCCTCTCGGTGGCAGCTGAATGCACAGTGTGCATGCCTGTGTGCATAAGGTGCGTGTGCCTCTGTCCCACCAGATTCACTTTACTTGGAAAGGAGGACCCGCCTTGCTCTCCCCACTGTGCCCGCCGCTGAGTTTTGCGCATTCCAGACTCTTGAGCAACATTTACTTTGTGAATAAGTGAAATCCTTTAGACCACCCAGCAAGTCGGTATCAAGGCCAGAGCTAGAAAGAACCAAGGGCTCCTGAATCCTTTCCCTGACACCTCCCCAGAATAAATGTTTTCCTCTAAAAGCTGATTGATGTGATTACTGAGTCTGGATGCTGTTTATAGACAGCCGTGAAGGTAAGTAAGCCTCAGGCCTCAGCAGGCAGTGGGTGGCGGAAGGGGGCGATGGCGCCTCATAAACCCTATCAGCTTCAGCAACAGGAGATGTGTGACCCTCAGCAGGGTTCCCAAGGGTCCCTTTTCTTTTATTCCCTGAAAAGAAGTCCAATGCCGTCCGTAGGGGGAGGATGGGGTTCTGGGAAGTGACTTCCATTCTCAGAACTCCCAAACAGAACTGAGTCAGATGTGATTCAATCCCAGACATATACATGTGGGTCCTTCCAGCATTTGGACACTTTCTGGGCC